TACAACAACAGCTTGTGTGAAAAACTGAACATAGACAGAATTGTGGATAGATTCAGAATTTTAAAACATGGCAAAGCAATACGAATGTAGACAATATAGTAATAATAAACACTTGATAGAAACATGGAGAATGTTAATATGAGTTAATATGAATTAATTGGATGATGGAAGGTGGAAGAAATGAAGAGGAGGGAGAAGACAGACTAAAAAGGAAAAAGACAATAACAGCAGAAATAGCATGCAAGCTTCCGTAAAAAGAGTGTAAATGTAAGATTACATGAAGATATGTTCATTTAAAAGCAAAAATTCTAAAAATTCAGAAATATATTGCAATTTATGCAGAAATTTATTATTTGCTTGGTGATTCCTGTGTAACATTTGTTTTCATGAATATTCAACTAAAAGCTTAACATTCATTTTAGTGTATTTTACAATTTTTGTTACTAGCATTTGCATATTTACATTTTTAAAGATTTGCTTTTACTTGAAAGCTAGAGTTAGAAAGATGGAAAGACAGAGAGAGAAAAAGACCTTCCTTTTGCCAGCTCACTCCCTAGATGGCTGTGATGCTGGAGGGAGGCCAGCTCCTGCCTGCAGCTTCTTTTGGGTCTTCCACAGGGGGTCAAGGCCTCAAGAGCTTGGGCCTGCCTCTGTTGCTTGCTCAGATCATTAGCAGCGAGTTGGATCGGAAGTGGAACTCCTGGGACTCAAACTGGTGCTTATATGGGATGCTGGAACCATAGGCTGTTGTGCCATGGTGCTGGCTTCATGTTTACATTAAAAAAAAAAAATTGGAAAGGCAGGTATGCAGAGGAGAAGAGAGAGAGGAAAAATCTTCTGTCCATTGATTCATTTCCCAAGCGGCCGCAAAGGCCAGAGCTGAGCCAATCCGAAGCCAGGAGCCTGGAGCTTCTTCGGGGTCTCCCATGCAGGTGCAGGGTCCCAAGGCTTTGGGCCGTCCTCGAAAGCTTTCCCAGGCCACAAGCAGGGAGCTGGATGGCAAGCGGGGATGCCAGGATTAGAACCGGCGCCCATATGGGATCCCGGCACGTCCAAGGCGAGGACTTTAGCCGTTAGGCCATGTCGCCGGGCCCAGCACCTTGGAAATTAACGTATTTGTATGAAGAGCTAACATTAGTAACGATACAGAGGAACTAGGTGGGCTGGGGAGTTGGGGCTGGGATAAGGGAAATACCAGGAGCTTATGGAACTGTATCATAAAATGATGATGATGATGATAATAACAATAAAAAGTTTTAAAATTAACATAGATTCATAGTGTTTTTATATAAAACAAACAAACAAACCCAGAGAAGTGTATCATAAACGCCTCTTCACCACGTGGGCTTGGTCTCCGCCTTCACGCAGAGCAGCCTAACCAAGAGAGGGATTGCGGCAGGAGCTTCCCGGTTGGCCGTGAGCACAGCGTTCCGCAGCCTTGCTCCCCGGGCTGAGGTCATTGCTTGTTGTTCACTGCTGGACCGTCTCCCAGAATCTCCAGTCTTCTCTGAATGCTTGCGCTTGTTCCTACTATACAACTGGTCTCTCAGGTGCTCCTCGGGCACACTAACTAACAAACATTTCCAAGGAAAGAGTGGTTCCTGTGACATGAGGCCTGTTCATTGTCTTTTTCTGTGCTTCATTGTGATTCCTGATTTATATGAACCTTTTATGAAAAATTATTTGAAATAAATAAGACGTACATAAAATGACACAGACTCGTAGGGGCGCTGTGTGATAGTTAAAATGTACACTTTGTGTAGTGTCTTATCAGAATAAAGATATTTATTCTTTTAAGAATTTAATATTTACAGTAAAACATCCCAAAATCCTATCTTCTGGTTTATTTATTGATTTTTTAAAAGATTTATTTGTTTTTATTGGAAAGGTAGATATACAAAGAAGAGGAGAGACAGAGAGGAAGAGCTTCCATCTGATGGTTCATTCCTCAAGTTAGCGCAAGGGGTAAAGCTGAGCCAATCCGAAGCCAGGAGTCAGGAGTCTCTTCTGGGTCTCCCATGCAGGTGCAGGGTCCCATGGCATTGGGCTGTCCTCGACTGCTTTCCCGGGCCACAAGCAGGGAGCTGGATGGCAAGCGGGGCTGCTGGGATTAGAACCGGCGCCCATATGGGATCCTGGAGTGTGCAAGGTGAGGCCTTTAACCGCTAAGCAAATGCGCTGGGTCCCTGGTTTATATTTATTAGGCTAATTTGCAGCAAGTTAACATTCTCTATCTTCACCGTATTGTTCATTGAAGGTGTGGACCTTCTTACCGTATTGCCTACTAGCAAGGAGCCTAGGGCCCCGGCGCAGTGACGGTTGAGTGTATGTTATTCAGTATGGTTTACAGGGAGAGGTAGAGTTCCAGTGTAATTCTAGGCAAGCCGACTGCTGACATGGAAGTGTGCGTTTGCTGTGGATACTGAGCCTCCATGTCACTTGCTCTTTAGGCCAGGGCAGGGGGCATTTTCACATAAGCCTCCACTATTGGGAAAGACTAGCCTTCCTCAGCCCTCCTCTCACATATGGTTCAAAGTTCTCTTCCCACCCTAGGTGCGATGGAGTGCTTATTCCCGATGGGAGTGGGATGGAGGGGAAATGTGGAGGCAGCACTTCCGCTGTTTCTTCCGCTGTTTCTGGTTTTTCTTTTTTTTAATTGGAAAGGCGAATATACAGAGGAGGAGAGACAGAGAGGAAGATCCTCCATCTGATAATTCACTCCCCAAGTGACTGCAACAGCTGAAGCTGAACCAATCCGAAGCCAGAAACCAGGGAACTCTTCTGCGTCTCCCATGCAGGTGCAGGGTCCCCAGGCTTTGGGCTGTCCTCCACTGCTTTCCCAGGCCACAAGCAGGGAGCTGGATGGGAAGTGGGGCTGCCGGGATTAGAACTGGCGAGCATATGGGATCCTGGCGCGTTCAAGGCGAGGACTTTAGCCACTACGCTATCGTGCCTGGCCCACTTCCACTGTTTCTGAACACACATCTTTGCTGCCAGGACTTTCTGTTCATCAATTGGTGTGCCATGGCCTTCCACTCATGCTGGCCTCTGCACTGGTTGCCACTGCTAGAAGACAGGATAAAAGTGGCAGTGTTTCCTGTCATGAAAGACTATGGAGCATCTTCAACTTTTAATTGGTTGGAACAGATATTCCCTGCTTAGAGATCTGGGCCTGGCGAGGCAGCCTAGTGGCTAAAAGGCTTCACCTTGCTCACCCTGGGATCCCATATGGGTGCCGGTTCGTGTCCCTGCAGCCCTGCTTCCCATCCAGCTCCCTGCTTGAGGCCTGGGAAAGCAGTCGAGGACGGCCCAAAGCCTTGGGACCCTGCAGCTGCGTGGGAGACCCAGAAGAAGCTCCAGGCTCCGCACTTGAGATTGGCTCAGCTCTGGCTGTTGTGGCACTTGGGGAGTGAGTCAATGGACAGAGGATCTTCCTCTCCTTCTCTCCTCCTCTCAGTATATTTGCTTTTCCAATAAAAATAAATAAATCTTTTTAATCTTTTTAAAATAAATAAATCTTCTTTTTTTAAAAGATTTATTTATTTATTTTTACAAAGTCAGATATACAGAGAGGAGGAGAGACAGAGAGGAAGATCTTCCATCCGATGATTCATTCCCCAAGTGAGTGTAACGGCCGATGCTGTGCCGATCCGAAGCCAGGAACCAGGAACCTCCTCTGGGTCTCCCACACGGGTGCAGGGTCCCAAGGCTTTGGGCTGTCCTCGACTGCTTTCCCAGGCCACAAGCAGGGAGCTGGATGGGAAGTGGAGCTGCTGGTATTGAAACTGGCACCCATATGGGATCCTGGCGCGTTGAAGGCAAGGACTTTAGCCGGCAGGCCATGCCGCCGGGTCCAAATAAATGTTAAAAAAAGAAAAAAATTATGACCCAGCGCGATAGCCAGTGGCTAGGATCCTCGCCTTGCATGTGCCGGGATCTCATATGGGTGCCGGTTCTAATCCTGGCTTCTCCACTTACTTTCAAAAAAAAAAAATAAAATAAATCTTTTACAAAAAAGACTTAGAGGTTTGAATAAAGAAGATTAGCTGTGTGATGAAGAAGGCTAACACTGAAAGGTACAGTAATGCCAAGACTGATGTCAATAACTAAAGCAGTTATTTAGACAGGTACATTCATCTCTGCTGGCTTAGCGTCAATGGCTTTATGGCTCAGAACTGAACATTTTACTGGATGTATACACATCTAAGCTCTCTCTCCCAATTTCCATAGTCAGTTCTGAGGTTGTGCAAAAGCTAGTCCATCCCCAAACCAGTGTATTGCAAGTTATTGGCTTTGGATTTACATAATGTCATAAGGTTAATGAGTATTTGGCTCTTTGTGCTAATGTGACTGGAGGCAAGAGACCTGGTAATAGCTCCTTGAATGTTAGAAATTTGCACATACGAACCTCAAATTATTCATTTTCCTAAGTGGAAACTCTTGGGATCTAAGTAGCATCTGTTTTTCATGTTCCCCTATTTTTGTCCCTGTTTCTGAATCTTCATTCGTTAAACCACCATATGAAGTGACTTTTCTGGACCTTGTTGCAGAGATTCCTTAGAATAGTGCCAGTTCTCGTTCTCATTTGATGACACGTACTTTTGCACGTTGTGAACGTCTCTGGGGCAGAAGAAGGGAATTGGTGATGGACGCGCTCATCTCGTGTTTTCTGAGCACATCACTTGCGATGCCCCTGAGGCATTTGTTCCTGGAGTGGGACGTGCACTCCCTGCTTCCAAGAACTGGCCACACAATAAACAAAGGTGTAAACAAAGCCAAGTGTTTGCAAGTCTCTCTGGGCAGAGAACACTCCCTGATGTGGACTAGATTGGAGGAGGTGAAGGGAAAGTAGGGGGAGTTTACGGAAGGAAAGCTCAGCGTTTTTGTCTTGGCGTGACTAGCTGTTTCTTCACCCTCTTCCTGGATGTGGGGTTGGATTACAGGCCCTCGAGGCTTTCTCCATGAATAAAATGAGGCATCCCTGGGACGGTTCCTAGCTCTGGTTCTTGGAGACAGGCAGAATGATGTCCCTGGTCCTTCTGCTCCTGGTGAGCAGCGTCTTCTCCGCCATCCAGGCTACACAGCTGACTAAGTGTGAGCTGTCCGAGAAGCTGAAAGACTTGGATGGCTACGGAAATATCCCGATGTCTGAGTGTGAGTGCCTTGCAACCTTTGTTTCATTGCTTTGCTTCGCTTTTCCGTCTCCAGTCTAAGGATATTATGTTCTTGGCTGATCTATGCTTTCTTTTATTCCATTTCTTTCTTCTCCATTTGCCTGATTCTGTTGGGAACTCTGCATTGTAAAGATACGCTTCATGCTTTGGCTTCTTCGGAGGCTTGGTGGAGAGGCTTTATTTGTCTAAAAAAATACAGTTGCTCACATTTTTGCTGGCACTGAACCCCTCTGTGCTGACTCTTTCTCCATCTTTTCTTCAGGGATATGTACCTTATTTCATACCAGTGGTCTTGATACACAGATTACAGTCAACAACAATGACAGCACAGAATATGGGATCTTCCAGATCAGTGACAAACTTTGGTGCAAGAGCAAGCAGAACCCTCGGTCAAGGAACATCTGTGACATCGCTTGTGAAAGTGAGCAGCCTGTACCTTGTCCCTCTGGGGTAATTCCCGTTATGGTGTCACGCTTCCCTACTCGGTAGGATCCCAAGCAAATCTCAGAGTTTCAATTTGCAATGCTAAGAAGCTGTGGGTTTTTCACAAACACTAAATTCGCTGAAGTTTTAAGGCAAATGTTCTGAATTGAGAATCGTGAAGCTTAAAAAATCTGCATTTTCACAGAAGTTAATTCTTCCTGAGATGGTCTGGGAAGCTCCTAACTATTCATGAGGCATTACTGTAGTTATTTAAGGTTTATTTATTTTACTTGAAAGAGTTACAGAGAGAAGGAAAGGAGGGAGAGAGAGAGCGAGAGAGCGAGCACTTCCATTTTCTGGTTCCCTTCCCAAATGGCCACAATGGTCCGAGCTGAGCTGATCCTAAACCAGGGGTCAGGAGCTTCTTCTAGGTTTCTCACTGCTTTCCCAGGCCGTTAGCAGGGAGCAGAAGTGGGATAACAATGCTACAGGCAGAGATTCACCTGTTCTATCACTGTGCCAGCCCCATTATTACCTATATTCTAAAAAGGCCATCATGAGAGACAAGGAGACAGAGAGAGGTATGAGAGCTGTCTCAATGATTTTCTCTCCATGTTCCTGCAACAGTTGGGGCTAGGCCAGGCCGAAGTCAAGAGCCTTAGAATCACTCACTGCAGGTCTTCCATGCCGGTGGCAAGGACTTGAGTATTTGAGCCATCACCTATTGCCTTCCAAAGTGCACATTAGCAAGAATCTGTATCAGAAATGGAGCGGGGATGCAAGTAACATCACTCTGATATGGGATGAGGGCATCTCGGCTGCTACACCGATGGTCTTATTCTCAGAAGGCATCAGGATTGTGTTGGGGCTTCCATAGAGAAAGACAGTAAGCACAAATCTTCAGTTGAAAGACAACCCAGACCCACTGGGTCTAGAGAGTAGGGAAACCCAAGACCTCTGTGGGTGATGCTGTTTAACCGTCTCACTTGTTTTCCTGAAACTCCTGCCAGAGTTCTTGGATGATGACCTTACTGATGACATAATGTGTGCCAAGAAGATCCTGGATAAAGAAGGCATTGACCACTGGTAAATAATCCTTTTGCTATTTAAAAAGATTTATTTATTTTTATTGGAAAGGCAGATATACAGAGAGGAGGCGAGACAGAGAGGAAGATCATTTGTCCATTGACTCACTCCCCAGGTGGCTGCAATGGCCAGAGCTGAACCAATCTGAAGTAAGGAGCCTGGAGCTTCTTCAGGGTCTCCCACATAGGTGCAGGGTCCCAAGGCTTTGGGCTATCCTCAACTGCTTTCCCAGGCCACAGGCAGGGAGCTGGATGGGAAGCAGAGCATCCTGACACAAACTGGTGCCCTCATGGGACCCTGGTGTGTGCAAAGCTGGAATTTACCCCTAGGCCATCACTGTGTCCTAATTTTCTAGTTTTTTCTTCTCTCCTTCCTTTTGTCTCTTTGGCCCAACACTGTTTTCTTCCCTCTCCATTTCCTTGTCATTTAATATGGAATATAATATCTAAGTCAAAGTTCCTGTGGAAGGCCCAGGCTTTCATTTTCAACTCTCCTTTGATTCATCTTCATCTGGTAACTTTCATTACTGCTCAATGGTGGGCATTAGTTACCTGGCATTAGACACATGATTCGACCACCTAGTCCCAGGCCCACATCCACATCCTTTGCATCACTTTGTGTGTTTTCTAGTTTTATAGTTGCTTGGGTTTTTAGTGGAGACGACATCGCTAGATGTCATTTGGTGAGTCAAGTGTTTCAGCAATTATCACACCCTCTCTTTCAACTCAGCCCTCCTGAGAATGAAGCTAGATGAAAGTTTCAGAATTTCAGCTAAGATGCGATCGGTTTACCTTGCCTCTTTCTCCATGACCAGGTTGGCACATAAACCACTCTGCTCTGAGAACCTGGAACAGTGGGTCTGTAAGAAGTTGTGAGCGCCTGCTGTCCATGCCACGTCTGCCCATTCTATGCTCCTGGAATCCCACTTCCCCAGTGCTACCTCAGTTTGCCTCTTTTATGCCCTCCCCACCCCTGACGCTGACTTGCCCCTGAGCCCTGTGCTGTACCATTGGATTCCTTAGAACTGTTCTCCAACGATGCATGGCCAGTGCACTGGACTTCAGACTCCTGCTCAGTGTCCTTGATGACACGCTCACTGCTGCAGCAGATGTCGCCTCTGTTCTGAATAAAGGGCCTGGTATGGAGTGGTTGGTTCTATTTTCTTCTTGGAGGGAAGGGAGGAAATAGGGCAAGGGGGTGGACACCGAAGCCATGGGACATAGCCATCTCCCGTCTCTCCTGAAGAATTCGGCAGAACTTATAAAGGGACTCTCTTCCACAAACGTTTGTTCACTGCTTAACAGATTCCAGGAACTATGCAGAGCTCAAATTTGCTGAAGGTTCAAATTTTTATTTCTCTCAAGGATTTATGGGGGAGAGACAAGAAAACTATTCTAAAGAATAGTGTCATAAACATCACGGAAGGGATGAAAAACGTGCCCTGGGAGCTGGTCTTGTGATATAGCAGGTAAAACCACTGACGACAATGCTGGAAACTCTTAAGGGTTTTGGTTCATGCCTTGGCTGCTCCACTTCCGGTCCAGATGCCTGGGAAAAGCAGTAGAAGATGACCCACATGTTTGGAGCCCAGCCACCTGTGTGGGAGACCTGGGTGAAGCTCTGGCCTCTAGGCTTCAGCCTGCCCTATCGCTGGTTATTGTGATCATTTGGGGAGTGAACCAGAAGATGGAAGATTCTCTATCTGTTCCTCTCTGTGTTTCTGACCTTCAGATAAATAAATACATAAGGCTAAACATATGTGCCTGGTGGTAATTCATGGGAGGAAACATACTTTATATTTAGAGGATAAGTGGAAAAAAGGAAGGAATAAATGATTTATGAAAGTGTAAAAGTTAAAAATGGTTTTGGAGGAGGTGTGGTGTTTTGACCGGTAGAGGTGTGGGACAGCTGAAGGAGGAGCAGGAGCTGCACATATCCTGGAATGATGGCTTGAGCAGGTGAAGGCAGCTCCTACAACAAACTGCAGAAGGAACTCTTTGGAAAGCGGAGATAGAACAGGGACCCTATAATCAGCTCAGTGATGTTTGAAAAATCGGTGCGGTTGGGATTTCCCCTCCGTCATTCCTTGTGTTCCACTTGTTTTTAAGGAGAACTGCAGAATTCTACTTGTTCTAATGATTATGGGATGGGAAAGGAAAAGGACCATGAGATTTGGTTCCTGATGTCTATTTTTTTTTTTAAAAAAACCTTTTAAATCAAAAAATAGAGTGAGAAACCAAAGGAGAGAGACAGACAGAGACAGAGTGTGCGTTTTTCCATCTGCTGGCTTACACCCCATACAATTACATTGCCTGGAGATGAGCTGATCTGAAACCAGGAACCAGAAGTTCCTTTTAGGTCTCCTATGTGAGTGCAAGGGCCATCCAGGCCACAAGCAGGGAACTGGATGGAGAGTGGAGGTGCTGGGACAAGAGCCAGTGCCCACATGGAATGTCTGTCCTACAGGCAAAGCCTTAGCCTATCATGCCATGGCACTGGCCCCACCTGGAGTCTATGTTTGCTGCCCATTGATGGTTGAATCTGGGTAAATCATCTCCGATCTTAGTGCATCAGCTTCCTCAATTTAAAATGCATATTTTGGCCTATATAGTTGTCTAAGATCTCTTTCTGCTTAACAATTCAGTATTCCAAAACTACACTTTAATTTTGCCTTGTGAGAAAAATTAGCTGGAAATAAAATTTGCATATTCTTTTGCGTTCCTAAGATCCCTAACCAAGCAGACAATACCCTTCTTTCTCCAGTTATGCCTTTTTTTAAATGCCTTTAGTTATGCCTTTCTTTTTTTTTAAATCTTAGAAGCCATCAACTTCTAAAGAAAGCGCTCGTGTTTAGGGGACCTATACATCTAGACACGTGGTGAGGAAGTCAAGGAAAACCAAGTCAGAAACAGCTTGAGATTTGCATTATTACTTTATTATCTTCCAAAGGTGTTACATGCTATTACCTTCTTGCATTGACATAAATGGCTCTCCGCCAAGTCCACAGACATTCAGGGCTTTATACAGTCCTGTGTATGCATGTGAAGGGGAAGTGTCGAATGGCTATTCTGTCCCCTGAACTCACACATCCACTTCGTAGCTATGAACCTACACCGGTCACATTCTTAGAGGGCATCATGCTCTGGACAATATCAGGGACTATATCCTGCAAGTGGCCAGAGCAGCAATGGCACTCAGTCTGGGTCTGAGTTCATCATTTCCAGGGCCCTTGCTTCAACCACAGATGAGGGCAGTTCAGCTGAGAGCAGAAGCGCATCCGTATAAGGAAGCCATGATCTCTAGCACTGTGCTGAAGGAATCTGACAAGAACAGAATCCTTTGTATCAGAGAATAAAGAGAGATAGTATAGAAACAGTCTTTTAAAAATTTTTTTGAAAAAGATTATTTTTTAAAGATTTATTTATTTTTTATTGCAAAGTCAGATATATACAGAAAGGAAGATCTTCTGTCCGATGATTCACTCCCTGAGTGACCACAATGGCTCGTGCTGCGCTGATCCTAAGCCAGGAGCCAGGAGCTTCCTCCAGGTCTCCCACACGAGTGCAGGGTCCCAAGGCTTTGGGCCGTCCTCGACTGCTTTCCCAGGCTACAAGCAGGGAGCTGGATGGGAAGCAGGGCCATCAAGATTAGAACTGGCACCCATATGTGATCCCGACACATTCAAGGTGAGGACTTAAGCTGCCAGGCCACAATGCTGGGCCCTATATTTTTATTTTAACTTCTTTTTAACTTACTATCATTATCCTGTGATACAGTTCCATAGACCCTTGAATTTCCCCTCCCCCTCCCCCTGCCCCCCCCCCACCGAATCCCCCTATATTATTACTATAGCATAGCTCTTCATAAACAGTCACATGTTCATCATTGCAGGCATGGACAATGGCAGAGTTCAGCCTCCCATTGTCAAGATACAGCTAATAGTTTCATTAGTATTCCATCTTTGATCTGGAAGTAGAGATGCACACCGCACTACATCCTCACATTTGGACATGACAGCCTCTTAAATGAAAAGCCACAGTACAAAATCAACAGCAGGAAGAAAAATAGAAATTTACAACACCATGAATTTCTCCAGAGGTTTTGATAGTTCAACAGTCCTGAATTGTTGGCGATCCCACCACTCCAATCATGATGAAATCTCCCGAATCCACTGGCTGCTTTAGTCTACCTTAGTGTCTCCGACTGCCAGATATTCACTGCCAACGATTGGCTGAGGTAGTTGATCATTTGTTCTGTCCTCCGTCCTCTGCCATGGTACCAGGTGTCCTTTGGAGGCTCCAGTGTACTGCCTTTTCCTCCATGTTCATTTGGATATGCTGTCCACTGCTCTGAGTCACTGAGGAGGCTCAGCTCTGACACATCCACTCCCACACTCAGCTCATGGGACCTGCAATTCTCTCCCTGGTTAGGGTTCTGAGTCCAGCAATTCACTTGGCAGGGAATCACCCAAGAAACCTCACCTGAGGCCATCCCAGACCTGATTCTTTTTTTTTTATGATTTATTTTAATTTTTATCGCAAAGTCAGATATACAGAGAGGAGAGACAGAGAGGAAGATCTTCCATGCGATGATTCACTCCCCAAGTGAGCACAACAGCTGGAGCTGAGCCGATCCGAAGCCAGGAGCCAGGAACTTGCTCCAGGTCTCCTACGCGGGTGCAGGATCCCAAGGCTTTGGGCTACCCTCGACTGCTTTCCCAGGCCACAAGCAGGGAGCTGGATGGGAAGCGGGGCTGCTGGGATTAGAACCGGCATCCATATGGGATCCCAGCACGCTCAAGGCAAGGACTTTAGGTGCTAGGCCACTGTGCTTGGCCCCAGATCTGCTTTTTGTGTGTGTCTGCCAATACAGGATCCAGCACAGTCTATCATCCAAATCGGCCTACGCACACACTGGCAGTTACAATTGTTAGTAAGTTCTGTCTCCAGTCCTGTTTTACACAACCCAATGGGTGTTGCCGCCCAGCCCAATCCTGCCCACCACTTACTTGGCCTTCACAGAAACCGATGGGAGCTGCAGTCTGAACAACCCCTAAATACCCCCACCAGGCCCACCCCTGCCCTGGTTCCCGTGCTTGCCAGTATGCACAGCAGAGTGGTCCCATCCTTCCCACATCTCACTCAGCTCTCATGTATGTTGATGGGCATTGAAACCCAGTTTGTCCACACCAGCCCCACTATCCAGTCCACACTGGTGTCAGTGGGTGCCCTCATCTGTCTAAGCCATGCTTGTGCCTGACAGAATTTGGCCTCTGTGCCAGCATTTGCCAGATGATGCTGCAGCAAAGCCCAATCAATCCACACCAATGCTGGCTTATGCATGTATCAGAAGGTACAGTCAGCTCAGCCTGGCTTTTCCCTGATCCAGCTCACATGTAGGTTATTAAATGTGGCCCTGCCCGGCCTGGTCTGCCCCCATCCCAGCTCTCATGTTCACCAGTGGGAGTGGTGGCCCAGCAGGGGTGCCCTCGCAACCCCTCACTTGGGCTGTCCCCACAACCCCCAGGTTTCACATGTATTTTTTTTGGTGCTACGACCCAGTCTAGCATAGCCCCCTCACCTTGGCATTTGCCAGCAGGTGCTGTAGCCTGGCCAGGCCAGGCCCACCCTCAATTCCAGGGCCAGTCCCCAGTCCTGGCCCTCATGTGGACTGGCTGGTATTGCACCCTGACCTGACCTGACCCGTACTCTGTTCTGGCACTCGGATTCACCAGTGGGTGATATGGACTGACCCAGCCTGGTCTGCCCCCAACCTGTGCCAAATGCATGCCAGTAGGTACTGTAATTTGGCCTGTTCTGGGCTGCTCCCCATCTTGGCTCTTGCACTCACCTGCAGGGAGCGTTTCCCGACAGAGGAGATCCCCAGGCTCCTCCATCCAGATCTCTCCAAGTGTCAGATCTCGCGCATACCAGTGGGTCCATGGGCCAGCCCTACTCAGTCCATGTCCTGTCCTAGCAGGAACAGTGGCCTTTCCTCACCTATTCTGGTTCTTGTGAGCCCAACCCTATGGAAGGAAGGAAGCCCTCTGCTCCTGTGGCGTGGCTGTGTTTCTCTTTCCCTGCAGGGTCTGGGAGGAGCTCATCCCTCGTGTTGGACTGGTGTATATTACAGCCTGTGC